TCCTACTTCATGTTCTGGCTTTGTGGGAGCCTAGCCAGTTTGGATGTTCACCTTCCTAGACCAGGATGGAGCGGGGAGGACTTTGGACTTTCCACAGGGCAGGGAACCCTGACTGCCCTTCAGACTGGAGAGGGAGGGGGAGAGGAGTGGGGGGAGGGAGAGAGGAGAGGGAGGAGGAGGGGAAAAGGGAGACGGGGAGGGAAATGGGAGGCAGGGAGGAGGCGGAATTTTTTTTTCAATAAAAAATTATATTAAAAAAATCCAAAAAAAAAAGAAATCATCAAGAAGTTTAAATATTTTTTTTAAACAGAATGTTTACTGTTGAGTTTATTTGTTCCTGGTGTTACAAGCAGTACTTTCAGATATTTGTGTACTTAATCCCCAGAAGTTGTCTGTTGAATCTGTTCTATGTTGAATACTGGGTTTGACCTTGGTGTTTTTAGGAGGTACTTAGTGGAAGTTTTGAATTCTTACACAATCTAGATATAATGTATTTATTCCATCCTGTAAATTGCTGAATATAAATAACAAGCTTTTCTTACGATGTTCTTAAGCTTAAGTGTTTTCAAATTCTTCCCAGTCACCAAAGCACTTCTAAACTCCCACTTACAGAAATATTAAAGCAAGATACATATGTTGACTCAATGAGACTTTGATTAGGTATTATTTTATACAAATTATTGAAGTAATTTTATTCTCCAGAAAATAACGTGACCAAGCTATGTACTGCTACTCTAAATAACTGAACATTGATGTTGCATCTTCAAACATCTTGCTTCAAGTGATTCTCAGGTTTTGCATTGCAACATTCTCAAATGGATGATGGATTTGAGTGTGGACTGTTCAGTGAATTAAAAAATTGTATGGACTTCTTCATCCAAGAGGCAACATACAGTGGGAAAGAAGCCATCTGTTAAGACTCAGAGTTTAGCCCCACACGTAGAAATTTGTTTGGAGGTCTGTGGGCCATGAAGAACTCAGTTTATTTGAGCTCCAGATAAACTGAGACTTGGACATGTATTAGGTCAGAGCAGTTCAATAATTTCTGAAACAAGCAATATATGACCCAGATCTCAAGGGAATCTGTTACCACCAATGTATTGAGATTAATGTAAGTGGGGTTAAAAAAAGAGAAAAAAAGGGGGATTTACTGCTCAATAGCATACAGTTAGTGATTACATGATATCAGGCCTAGTCTCTAATGCCAGCAGATAACACACCATCAACCCAATAACAACCTGTTTTTAAATGTGTTTTTTAAAGATATTTGAGACAGTTGGATTATGGTATTACCTGGGAAGTTTGAAGGCCCAGACAGATATTCTAAGCCTTGTTCTGACTCCACATAAATTTCAAACCATTTGAAACTTATGGGAGAAAAATATTTCCATAAGTTTCTTTCCTACAAATACAAGGTGCTGAACATATCTAGATTTGCATTATTCAAGGTGACTTCCAGTTGAAACTAGAATACTCATTTTTAACACTAGATAAGAAAGAAAGTTGGACTGAAATTGTGTGGCATAAAAATTGCAAAAAAGAAAAAATCTAGATAAGAAACATACCCACCCCAGACAATTCACAAAGCACATTTTATAAATTAAATGACTATAACTTATCAAAAGTTAGTAAGATTGTTATTGCTCATTCAGGTTTGGTCAATGTTTTTTAAATGTCCTGGCATATAATGAAGTGAATTTGAACGGTACTTAAATTACAAAAGAAATCTGTTAACTGGGAATGTTTTAAAGTTAATTACAGCCTATAGAGTATTTTAAAAAGCCATTCATCCTTCTAAAATGAAGTACAGGATTTTAATCTGCTCTATAATTTAAACAGTAACTGTATGAAATATGGTAGTGATAAAAACATATTTTCATCCATGGTACTATTCCTTTTGTGACATTCTTTCAGTGAACAACCTGTACCTTCTGATCTCAATTACAATTCTACAGACTGAAACAGACTAAGATACACATCAAAGCAGCCAGTGTACAGGCACAAGTCTGTATTCTCAGAATGACCACTGGCAGCAGAAAATCCCAGATGAGTCAGGCAAACAACAGAGACCTCATCATAAATGGGAAAATTGTTACCTAACTAAGCAATGCTCTTTTGCTATAGGCAGTGGTTCATCTATATCACAAACTATACAATATTATATAACCTGGAAGTTTACTATTCAATTTTTGTTATTTAATTTAACTTCTTTGAGAGTTTCACATCATGCACCCCAATTCTGCTTACTTCCCAGTCCCCCATATTCCTCCCTCATCCCTGCCAAACTTCTCCCACAAAAGGAAACAAATCAAAGTAAGTAAGCAAGCCACAACAAAACAAAAACAAGCAAAACAAAAGCACCACAACGGAAAAATCTCTTTGCTTCTCCTTCTTTGCCTCTTCAACACCAACACTGGTATCACGTTGATTAGAATATTGTTAAGTACCTTATTGTATTGTCTCAATCCTTCTTGCTATGGAACAAAGTAACAAATATATAGGAACTTACAAAAACCATTTAGCCAGATTCACACATTGTCTTCCTTAATTCCTGTTGTCCAGACAAAACACCATGGCCAAGGAATAGAAAGAGAACTCAAAAGTATCAACTTGGGAATCATATCGCAATGCTTTGAAGTAGAGGCTAGATCAAAATGTAGTAATTGCCTTAATTCGTTATACCAAAGCCTTCCCCTTAGGGTGTTTTTTTGTTAGAAACTTTGAGCAATTTTCATAATCATATCATTATAAAGAGACCTCAAATCTCAGTATAACGAATTTGAGCTATGAAGCTTGAAGGTAGAATTTGCTGCTATAAACAATGCAACTATATTTGACCAAAGATAATTCCACTGCCCTGCAAATTAGTGTCGTGTGGAGCTTCTTAACTTTCTAAAGAGGTTTATATAATACTCTCTAAGGTCTGGGTGTCCTTGAAAAAGGCCTGACTATTTTATGAGAGGGCAAATGAAATGGTTTACATATGCCGCTCACTATAATGTTCCTCCGGAATTCTAATCGTGCATAAAGGGTTTTGTTAATGGGCAGCATAAACAAGATGGACGTTTATAGACAGACGTAATTCCACTGAAACAAAGAACTGCTTTTTAATTAATCACTTCTGCATTATCTATTATGCCCATGGTTCTGTGAATGGTTTCAGACTCGTTTTCAAATTGGATTATTGATACTCTTTCTTCCTTAGGTTGACAAGCTGAGGGTGCTAGAGATGTTTGCGTCAGGTGCCATTTTCTCTCAGCCTGATCACTGAGTGAACCTCGGTTCCTAAGATATTACACTATAAAAAAGAGAAAGAACGATGATCAAGGAGCAGCCCCTGAGATGTGCTGAGGTAGGTATTTCTAGAAATGAGTCTTAGTGATAAGGTACAATTATTGATTCTGAAAAAGTATGGTAACTCTTTCATAGTTAATGCCACAGCATGCCGGCATATCTGTGTGGAAGCCTGCTCTTTCTCCATTCGTTAAGGAGATGAATCTGTGTGAGCACAGAGAGAACTAATGCCAGGAACCTGGTAGCCACACTGCAGGACCATTTTGTATTATGAAATTTACTCAGAGACATGGCCTTCATGACAGGCCTCACAGACTAGACAAACATACCATAGATTCAGTCCTATTCTACTCGATGATAGGAGTAAGGAAGTAAAGCCATAGAGGGAGATCATTCTTTGGCACTATGATGAGTATGATTTACTTCTAAGTCATGCATAGATAAAGGCCAGATATGTTGGTGAATGAATTGTCAGGCAATCCTATCACCTCTATGCCAATTTTCACCCAAATAGAGAAGGCAGACATTGTGGAATAGAAAGAAGAAATATTTAGCTTGCTTTTTCTGCCTCAAAATCTGGGTGGTGGTTTGAATGAGAATGGCTTCCACAGTCCCATATATTTGAATGTTTTGTTCTCAGCTGCTGAAACTGTTTAGAAAGGATGAAGAGGCATGGCCTGCTTGAAGGAGGTGTGGCCTTGTTGGAGGAAGTGTGTCACTGGGGATGGGCTTTGAGGCTTCTGAAGCACAAGTCATTCCCAGTTAGCTCGCTCTCTCTCTCTCTCTCTCTCTCTCTCTCTCTCTCTCTCTCTCTCTCC